AAGGCAACATCAAATGTGTATATATGGAATCAGGGAAAGCTAAATCGTGGACATTCTTCATCGAATATACTCTATCTCTTTAGCAAAAAAAGGCAATATCCATAAAATCCGTTCCTTGATTATTATTAACTGTCAATTATAGTAAATCCTACATTTGAGACATTAAATTTTTATTAAGAAGCAAATAAAAACTTCGGTAAAAATTATCCAGAAACCTACCCCATACCCCATACCTTCCCCGATACCTACAAACTTAAAAAATAGTATATATTGGCTAATTTCATGCAAAATATAAGTTGCCTGTAAAATCGCCTCATGTAAATACAGTATAATGGCAATGACAAATAGTATATTAACTGCAAAAAAATTAAAAAAAAAAACAAATATTTCTTATTTCATCATCATTTTGTCCCAATCATTGTAGAAGGGTTAAGTTGTTAAACCAAATGAAAGGAAGAGCTTTCCTTGCGACATTTAATCTTCTAAAGATTTCTTCAGATTTGATGCAGCTTTGGTTTACCACGTTCCAAAGGTTTCCAATTGGATTGAGTTCTGATATTTGGGCCTGCAATCTTTAAAATTTTCACCTTTTTAAAAGTTAAGCATAAGACAAAGAAATGGTATCTATTCTTCGTCGGAGGGATGCATAACAACTGCCAACTCTTCTTTAGAAGTTGATTGATCCGTTATGCAATAAATTCTATTTAGTTGGCTTCTGCTGCACAAAAACACAACCACACATCTCACTCTCTGCTTCATGTTAGATCGTAGTAGTAAATATGGGTGCCAATTATTACTTTTGACGCGATTGCATTTAGAAGTTAAGAGGCTGACATGGTAATGCAATATATTTCGAAAAGGCTGTCATGTAAAGTGTCTTTCGAAAGAGGTTTTTTTATTTCCGAAAGGCGAATTGCAGATTGCTAGTACAGCAAGAGCAAGTTGAAATATATGTATTTCCGAAATCCATTTGCGCTCTCTCAACTGCAGTCACATGTTGCAACTTTTATTTCTGAAACTAGGCTAGCATTTCAAAGATTCCAAATTTCAAATAGATTCATTTAAGTAAATATATATTTTAATTTTCGAATTTTTTGTTTTACCCATCAATTCTAATTTGTTTTTAATTTTGATTTAAGTGACCTATGCTATTCACTTAAATAAAAATTAAATCGGAATAACCACACTCAGCGATGTTATACGTTCAATCAGCTGATCACCTGCTCTTACGACCATTTTAAGCACGGTGCTGCCATATTTTTACTAGTTTAAATAAAAAGCTTATTGAAACTGAAAAAAATTTATTTGAGAATTAAATTAAAATTAATTTTCATTTAAATGAATCTGGTGAAATACGGCCTAATTGTAGCATGACCCAAGTGAGCTAGTCTGCGCCTAGCAAGAGTGACACATTCACAGTTTACAAAAGCTATGAACGTTTATTTCAAAGATTAATTTTAATGAGGTGATAGCGAAGGGAACAGTGTCTAGTGTAGTACCCAGTGAGAGTTTTGAGATCCTCTCTGCCTAAGTGAAATAAATAGATTCTTTGAAGCTTCATTTGAAAAATAGATAAATCGTTTGGCTTGTCTCTGCCCTGCACATTCCATCCAGTGCCTGTTGAACATATTGTCTATCCAGTTGTTTATGATCCACTTTATGTGTGCTTTGCTGAGCCCACAAAATGTTTCCGGACCATAAAATACTGCGGTAGCTGCTTAGTATCGCTGGGCAGTCAGCCTCCTCATTGCCATCATGTCCTTCATGCCTCGGTACCCATTCTAATAAAACTGTATTCTTAGCTCCAAGACCGTTTAGGACATTGAAGCAAACATAGCTGAGAATTTATTTTGTGTGAGTGCAGTGTCAGTTGGGCTGCCTGACTGTCCAATATAATGCAGATACATATATTTCGATGATGTGCTTCTTTTAGCAGCACTCTCTGCCACAAATTTCTATTACAAGAATCTCCGTTTGAAAGTTGTTGGTATCGACGTTTTGTGTTTTGGATATGTCTTAAGCGAACGCCAATAGAATCAGTATTTCTCAAATAAGCCACTGCAACATGTAGATAGAATTTTAGAAACGTAGTTCCATATGTTTTGACCACCACTGTACATATATACATATGTATGTATGTATATTCACATATGAATGGCCACAAGTGTACAAGTGCATTGGTTTTGTTTTTGTACATACATACATATGTATGCGTGAATGTGATTGCAGCAGCATCGTGCAATGCAATGCAGCGCAGCGCACTTCTAGAGCACAGCATTAATTTCCATTCTTAACTTCAGGTGATCCACAAGATGAATGTGTTCGCTGCGGCAAGGTGTACGTTACACTAATGCAGGGAGTCTGCACAAGGTGCTCCGATTCGAACAATTCAACTGACACTGACAACAAGACTGGTTTTCAATCGGGAGGCGATACAACCACAGAAGATGAAACCTCAAATGGCACAACGGAATGTAGTGACAAGTAGGATACAAAAAAAAAATAAAAAATAAAAATACAAAATAACAAAAAATGCACAAAATAAAAAAACCGAACACGATAACGATAACTACATGCATTCGTACTTACATACATACATACATACATACACAAACAAATATACATACTATAATGACTGCTGCTGTAAATATATAAATACATACATACACACTAAATATGCACATATTATCTATAAGCATAAAAATGGGGCGGAGAGGGGGTGTACATACACACATATGTACGTATGTATGTATTTTTGTCTAAGTGTACATATTCTCTTACTCTACTCTAAATATACTACATACATACTAAGTAAGCACTAGTCGTTAAGGATATTTATAAATCTTTTTTTTTAAGTGACATTACAAAGCAAGTATAGCACAAGCCAATAAAATAGATACTGAAGATTTTTTGTCCAAGTATGTATAACTGAATGGTAGTGTTTGATGTTGCACCGCGTCATTGGAAACGTCATCGTCATCGGCGGCGTCTGCGTTGGCGTCTGCGCTCCGTTGCCGTCGCTATTGTCGGCGAATTTGGTTTGTATGGCTTGCATGATTTTTGTTTTGTTTTAGCACTTACACACATATATATGTACGTATAATTCAATGGCAACAATGTTTAGACAGCTTTTGTCGGCTAATTGGAAACGCGACAATTTTGATAATCTTCTTTTTTTTTAATGGCGGGTTTGACCACGTGGAATACAGCGTTCTTCATTCTCGTCAAAATTGGTTTAGCTAAAAAAACGGAGAAGGTCTCGAAATTTTAATAAAAATAAATACTTTGTAATAACGAGGTGCGTTTTTCAATATTCGAAATGTCGGATCTAATATGGCGGAGATTTATAAAAAAAAAAATCATTGGATTCACCTCAAAATTGTTATTGGGGGGTTTTTGGGGTCGCTGATCACGAACCCGGTGTTATTTTTCAAATTTTCAAAGTCACGGACCCAATATGGCGGATAATTTTTAAAAATTTACTCGGATACTTCAGAAAATTGTCACTCAGATTCGCTAATTTTGAAAACTAACACCGGATTCGTAATTAGCGGTCCCAAAAACGCCCGGGTAAAAATTTTGAAGTGAATCCAATTTTTTTTTTTTTTTAAGTTAGCCGCTATATAATATTCGCCATTTTGAATTTTTAAAAACACTACTCGAAATTAAAAAGTATTTATTTGTATTAAAATTTTAAGACTTTGCCCGATTTTTTTGTACCAAAACCAATTTTCGCGGGAAGGTAGCTTCCATTTTTAACTCTAAAGAGTGTCCCTACCCCAGAATGCCCAAGACAATCTGGCTTCCTTAATCAATGCTAAAAGGGCCTGGGTAGTCGATGCTGGACAGTCACAAAGGATGAAGCCACATACTTATGCAATCTGATTAAAAAGTCGTCAACTACAAGTGGCCAGAGCAAGGGGGAAGAACCCCTCCCTGCGGTCAGCCTATCACGGGTCTGATCTTCACTTGAGTGTTACCGAAGGACGAGGTGATTTCGCATTCACGAAGCATAACATCGATCCAGCGCACAGTAAATGAATCTAAGCATCATTGAGATAGAATCATAGACAGTATTATCAAAAGCCTCCTCAATGTCCAAAAAGGTTTACAGAGCAATCTCCTTGGCCTCAAAGATGCTTTCGATCTTACTTACCATACACCGTAGAGCCAAATCAGTTGATTTGTCTTTGACATAAGCGAATTGAGCAATTAAGTTCTCGGCATTAAATAAAATCTATCACACAGTAGGAGTCGAACGATTTCGATAAGTCCATCCCAAATCTGACTGATCTGGTGGTTTTTGCTTAACCAAATTTTTACCCAGCTTCGTAGAGGGGGAATTTACCGGTTCTAAAGACACACTGATAAGGTCTAATCTGTTCGATGATCATGGGTTAATTGGGTCTAAGTGCTGCCTAGCAATATGTTCAAATACAATTAAGGATCCCAGAAATGAAAAAAAAAAACCAGCAATGAGAGAACAACACTGGCGGCGATCAGCAGGATCACGAGCCGTCCAAAGAGCACGTTTGTTGGGTCTACCATAAGTTGAGCTTCGCGACAACAATTGAAGCATTTATCTATTCCAAACAGGGTTGAGTAGCAGCTACATCAACAACAACAATAGAAATACGACAGGCAAAGCGCTTACATAGGAGATACATATATGTAGCTTAAAATTATTCCAGTCAATCTCCCAAATGAGAATCTGAGAATCATCACATCGCGGAATATAGGGTCACTTGCACAAACTAAATAGGAACCTAATCAAACTATCTGTACCGCATCCGTGACTCGACCAAAGATACACCTTCTAGTTAAATACTATGGCATTTGCAGAAGGCACCAGAAAACACAGGCCGTTTCCTCCATACCTTATAGTTGTATCTACGAGGAGCTTACGGCATTATTATCTGTATCGAACGACGACGAATGCTTTAAAAATTTATCTGACGATATCACTCTAGCCGGTCATTCCGTGGGCTATTGTTGGAGATAGATAAAAAGGCTGTTACTTTCAACAAAAGTGCTGCCAATATACCCTTAAGTATCATTGCGCATCTTATACATATCTATCTAAGAGCTTTAGTTTTTCACACAATGCACCAGTTAAGACTTTATATATGTTGTCACGCGGTAGTTATCGCACACAGAGGGCCAACCTTCATGTAGTCTGGTTAGAGCTCACTAAAATTTTGATGATGCATGTATCTATCTTATGACGTCCTCGTCGTTGTACTGAAATAGCTCAGCTATAAAGACATCAGCTCCAACATCGTTGTTGGTCTTCAGTCAAGAAATTCTTTGCTGAATTTTCTCATAGTAGTTTGGTTGGACGTTGACTGGGGCGTCGTTGATTAAAGATACATATACAATTTCGCCGTTAGCAGTTATCAGAGTTCTTACAGCCTTTGTTCTCGTTAGCATGTCGCTTTCATTTCCGAACTGACATTTCAAATAAAAATTGAGGTACAGTTGAAATGCATTACTAAAATCGAAACGGTAATAACCCGATGCACGCTCTTTTAGTAAAAAAATATTTAGAGGTCGCTCAAAGCGCTCAAAGTTTTCCATGTATTTTATATGGGAAAAACTTTTTTCGTGGAAATGGTATAGAATTCTTGAAAATCAATATTTTTCAATCAGAAAACTGTTTATCTTGAGAGACTTCCAATAATAATGTCCAATTATTTATTTTACCATTTTTTAATTATAAGTTTTTTTTTTGGCGCCATAAAAATTGTTCATATTAGAAAATGGTTAAATAAACAATTTATATTAGTATTGAAAGTCTCCTGAAGAGAAACAAAGGTTTCCGATCGAAAAATATCGATTTTCAAAATTTGAATTTATTTTTTTAAGCGAATAAAGTTCGAAGGACGAAATTCGAGGATGTGAATGAGTGAATAATTAACTTATTTACCATATAATTTTTTTGAAAATAATTATTTTAAAATTTCAAGGATATTCAATGTTAAAATTTAATGGTAAATTGTTAAAAGGACATTTTCAATACCTAATCGTCTTTATGCGCCAAAAAATGTAGTCGGGCGTAATTCTACAGAATTTTCTCTTTAATTTGATAGTCATACTGTGCATTTTTAATACTTTTTTGAAGTAATTATATTTTTAAAATTTCAAAGTAATTTTTAAGCGAAAAACAAAACCCACTTCAATTCTCATATGTATAAACATTTAAGATTATCGTTAATTTCTTCACGATCCAATTATCGGAAAATTAGTATGGGACCACCCTTGAGGTACCACCTTTCCGATGAAAAAAGAATTATCGAAATCGGTTAACGGTCAAATCGGTCAAAAGTTATGCGGTAACGTACACACAAAAAAAAAAATATTCCGACTAACCTTCTCCTTTTTGTGAAGTCGGTTAAAAATCCTTACATCAGAGATAGAAACACTAAAAACGCAGTTTTACTATATATATTTGGTCCATGGTTTCGCGAATATCTAAAATTTTGTGTGTGTAAAATTTACTGTCGCACGGTGTAATAAGGTATTTTACATTGAACCAGAAATCCCTGCAAATCAATGTTTGAGCATAAAATGGAAAAATTGTAAGCAAAAGCCATACACTAGCATTGTCGTCATGCGACGAACAAATATATTGCCTTCGGTAATCAAAAATATGTTTTCGGCGCTTTTTTCATTGATATAATAAGACTCATTGCTTGACAGTTTAATACCTACATACTTTCGTTAATAAATCATTAAATCTGTGCATATGTACACCGGTTGTTAGCTAATTAGAAATGGAATATTTTGACCAGTTTTGACTACTTCTCTTTTGTTTGTTTTTATGTTCATTAATCCTACTAATATTATATGTACATAAATGTGAAGGTTTGTAAGTGACAATTTGGCACACAAATAGCTCATGACCTGGTTTAACACATAGGATATTTTTTAGGAGACTTGCCATCTTTTTAAAAAATTATAATCAATTAACTAATAGTTTAAATAAAATATTACAATGATGTGCGTATCAAACGAAAGGCATTCTAAAACAATTTAGTTGGAAATAATTTTGAAGAGGGTTTGGCACCTGTTCAACAAGATAAAAAGTTAATTAACCAGTTAAAGGAAATATGTTTATATGGGTATCAAATGAGAGGTCTAAGAAAGCTTTTTTTCGATATTTTTAAGAGAGACGAGAAGTTTAAGAAGACTTGTTTTGAAAACCTTTTGAAGATGGTTGCCAAATGTTTAGAAATTCAAAACCTATTTAATAACAAGTTAATTTAAATATATAATGTGGGTATCAAACCAGAGGGAAATATTACTTAGGAAGGTTGAAAGTGGTAATTCAAAATAAATTTAATTAACAAGTTAATAGGAAATATTTTATACGGGAATGAAATCAACGAGAGGTTTACGAAAGGTTAATTTGAAAACCTTTTGAAGATGGTTGCCACATGTTTTTAAATTCAGAACCAATTTAATAACAAGTTAATTTCAATATTTCATTTGGGTATAAAACGAGAGAGGTTTAGAAAGATTTATTTCGAAAATATTTTTGAGTAGGTACCACCTGTTTAGAAATCCAAAACCAATTTAATTAATAAGTTAAATACAATATTTTTTTTTGTATGGTTATCAAAAGAGAGAAAGGTTAATTTCGAAAATATTTTTGAAGAGTGTTGCCACATGTTTAGAAATTCAAATAAATTTAATGAAATCAAATTAAATATTTGAATATGTGTGCCAAATGTAAAAGGTTTAAGAAAGCTTAAATTCGAAAATATTTGTGATAAGAGTGGCCAGCTATTTAGAGATGCAGAATCAATTGAATTTGAGAAGTTAAATAAAATATTTTATTATGATTGCCAAGCGAGAGAGGCTTAAAAAAGATAAATTTCTAAAATACTATTGGGGTTTTTTTTTTTTTTTAAATGTGAAGGGGTTGCCACCAGTTCCAGTTCAATTTAATGAGTGAAATTAAATGAAAAATTATAATGCGGACGTCTAAGGAAAGAAGCTAAAGCAAATTTGTGTCCAAAATATTTTTGAAGAGAGCCGCTAACTTATATATTTACATCAAATTAGTTTGACAGCAATTTGCAATGGAGTTGCCACATTTCCAAAATTTATTCAATCAACCTTTTCCGAGTACGTTAAATGAAAGAAAAAACATTTTGCATTGATACAAAATTAAATTTATTTTCCTATATATAAAGAATACCTACGAAAGGTAAGTTTAATCTGAAATTTGGTTCATGCCTTATCAAAGATAAAACTAAATTAGCCATAACTGGGCAGTTAAACAAAATTAAAGCAGCTAGGTAACCCGACTCGTATTTGAAAAACCTCGTCACCACGAGATGATTGGTATTTAAGGCTAAAATAAAAAAGTCTAAAAATTTAAAGAAAATTAAATGTAAAAAAATTAACTATTTAGCAATGTTTTTTTTTAGCTTTGTACCAGGATTTGTTTGTGAGAAAAATTGGAATAAACAACAAAGTCTTAGGGCCGGTTGACACTAATCCCCGGTTAAACATCGTTATCGACGTTACCGACACCGTGTTATATGTATGTGTCGAAAACGTCGATAACGATGTTAACCGGTGATTAGTGTCAACCAGGCTTTGAGCAACCGGCCCTAAGAGGTAGAAGTTAATCACATCTCATCAGACTTCTTTTTCTAGAAATCGTGGTACAAAGCTCAAAAAAATATTGCTAAAAAGTAAATATTATAACGGCACAATAATAAAAAGATTTATGTTTAAAAATTTTGAATTTAAAATAAATTAAACACGTTTCTGAAAACTAAACGAAATGAAAAAAAAAATTTTAAATAAAATCTTTGTATTAAAAAAAAATATATTTCAAATTTTAAGTTACAAAAAAACAAAAATAGATAAAATAAGTTTCTAAAAATTAAATTAAATATATGGAACATTTTTTAAACAATAAAATATAAAAATTACAAGAAAATCAAATAAGAAACGAAAAAAGTTTTCTTTTTAAAATAATAAAATCTTAAAATCAATAGAAAATTTAAATTAAATCTGCCGCGCGAGTACTCGAACCTCGGATCCCTCGAATGGCACGCCAAAAGAGCTTTTCACCACGAAAGTTGGCTTTTTTGTAAGACTTTCGTTCGAAAACAAACAAAATCTTTTAAAACACAAAATACTTGCAACTGTCTTAGCCCAAATTGGCCTGTTAGTGTAATAAATTGCATGTTTGAAGTTGCTAAAAAATTCCGTTTATTTTTGATAATTTGTTTTTGCTGACGGTGCTACGCACTTTCTTCCCAACAATTACAATTAGGGGATTCACAATTCGCGTGTTTGTAAAGTAAAGCCTTAAAAATATATGGCATTGGATAAAGCTATCATGATGAACATGTTGTTTCCGACGCCATTCGCGCAATTGATATTATTTTTTTACAACGACATATTTATGTATTACATATCTTATCATAATTATTTAAACCCACAGGTAATATTTAGTTAATAAATTATGATTTTTGATAATTTTTTTGCTGACGATGTTACGAATTTTTTTCCATACACACGCAAAACATTTAAGGCATTCACAATTCGTGTTAAGCGTCGCAATGTCTTAAAGTCTTAAAATTTTTCTATGTAAAACAACGGTTAAAAGCGTTTTAAAAGATTTCCCTATAAAATAAGAGCCAATAACACATTTACGATTAAATAGTTTAAAAACCTTTTCTGGTGAAGTTACGAATTGCCTATAAAAGTATTAAGCGTTATTTTACGATCAAAAAAGCATTACCACGCTTAACACGTCTTGTGAATCCCTCAAATGTTCGACAATTTTTTTACATGTATGGATGAAAATGCGTAACACCGTCATCAAAAATTCTAATTTTTTAACTACTACCTTTGGGTCTAAATAATTATGATAAGATATGTAATACACACCTATGTATGTAGATATGTATGTCATGATCCCATATATTTTTATGAATTTAGTTTACAAGTGTAAATTTAAAAACGTGCGAGTAAAATTTTGATAAGCAAATTATACTAAAATCAGTGA